TAGAAGCCAGTAGCACCACCTCCTATCCCGCTGCTGTGACAACCCAGAATGTCTTCAGACATTGCCAGTGTCCTCTGTAGGACAAAATTGCTCCCATTTGAGAACCACTGGCTTAGAGGCGGGGCTGCAAGCATATCTCCCTCCTCACTTTCTTTATACTAAGCCACTTGTGTCCTGGGGCCTCCCCCATTTAGGCAAAGGCACGCGAGGTCCTTCACACAGCACCCTTGGAGTCTGGGGTTCTGGCTGTTGTGTTTTCTCACTGTTTCTCCTCTGCCTGATGCAGGAGCTACTCCTTTTCAAGAAAAGCATCTTCCTGCAAGGGTGATGGAACTTAAGTGTCTGCAGGCATGAGATAGACCAGGACCCCTCAGGTCCTGCTGAGGGCCCCCTAGAATACCCCTGGAATGGGGGGAAAACAGCAAGAGTCAGGCTCTTGCCATGAGACCCGCAACTTGAGGGCAGAAGGCAAAGAATGACAGTGTCCTAGAGTGACACCTGGGATCTTGGAGAGAGGGCGGGGAGGAGAGGAGAGTGTTGAGGCCTTCACAGAGGGGACACATGAGTTCTACCACCCTGAGCAAAGCACGAGAAGGCGGGATCCTCACCCCTCGTGCTGGTCAAGGCTTCTTTCCCTCAGCTGCAGTGTCCTTAGCGGCAGCTGACCACGCCCCACCCCATTTCTGCCCGAGTTGGGCAGGATGGACAGAGACGCAGGCAGCCCTCACTTCCCTGAGAGCTCCGGAGGAGACGTGAAGGTACAGTAGCTTCACTCGTCCCAGCTCTCGCCTCACTCCGCCAAAGTGACAAGGGCAGACAGCAGCGTTCTGCTGCCATTACAGCTGCTTCTCCTCACCCTGGTCCCTCGACTCCCCAAGACAGGAACAATGTGCAAAAGGCCCCTCTGGGTAAAAGTCTATTTTGCCACTCGGCTGTTCACTACAGAGGATGTTATTTTAGCAAGACCCAGTCCCAGACCTTCTGATTCTTATTTATTTTTTTAACAGACTAGTCTCAAAGTACAGCACAAGATTTCTTCTCTGCCTTCTCTCGTGGCATTCCCGAGTGTCTGTGGTTGTGATCTGGAGTGATCCGTGTTTATTCGGTGTGCCGTGCTTGCTCAGCTCTCCGTACGGCGTCTGTGTCTTTGTGTCCTGGGATTGAGTGCGTGGGAGTCCTTCGTCTGTGGAGTGCCCTCTTTTTTCTGTGTTGCCCACATACCTTGTAAATGTTTTGAAGAGTCATGTCTATATATAGAGAAAAAATATATAAACAGAAATATGTGAATCTGGGTTATGTTTTGTTTCTTTGGAGATTTTTTTTTTAACTTGAAAGAAGGAAATGTTTACTTCTGAAGACTGTGTCCTTCTATGCCAGGGACCCCTACCTAGGTGGGGTCAGATTGTCATGAGAGCTGCTTGGCCTTTTCCTGGAAAGCTCAAGACTGGTGAGTCACTCCTCACCTCCTGTAATAGTCAGCTACACCACAAGTAATGCTGCATAACAAACTACCCAAAATATAGTTTTTTTTTTCTTTTTAACTTATTGTATGCATGTGCATTCACCACCGAGGAACACACAGAGAGAGGGTAATTGAGAAAGTACATACCCCCCACTACGGGAGATGACCATACCACAGCCCTTCCCCTCTTATGCTTTTGGGCATGCATGCACACATGCCCAGTGTGTTTTTCAAGTCACTAGGTCTAGTCCTTGAATTGTTCAGTTGACCATGTGAGATCCAGCCAGCTGCCTTCAGCACCACACCACTGGCTGGCCTAAGATGCAGTGCTTTAAAACAGCCATTTATAGTTATGTTCTGCCTGACAATACAGATACATTCTGAGAAATGCACCCTTAGGTGATCTCGTCATTGTATGAACATCACAGAGCATTCTTTGCATGTACCTGGATGGGACAGCCAACTATATACATAGGCTGTGTGGTCTAGCCTGTTACTCCTTGGCTACAAACTTGGACAGCATGTTACTTTACTGAGTAAATACTGTAAGCAATTGGCACACAATGGTAAGTATGTATGTAGCTAAACATATCTAAATGTAGAAGAGAGACAATAAAAATATAGTATAAAAGATAAAACAGGGCATGCCTGTACAAGGCAGTTACTGCGAATGGAGCTTGCAAAACTGGGAGTTGCTTGGGGAGGAGTTGGTGAGTGAGTGCAGAGCCAACGTGAAGGCCTCGGGCATGACTGTCTGCTACTGCAGACTTCATAAACACTCAACACTTAGGCTCCACTAAATTTAGAATAATTTTTTCTTCTGGGCCAGCAGGTGGTGTGGTGGTTAAGGATGCTGGACTTTCACGTGGCTGACCACGGTTCGAGTCCTGGACCTGGTGGCGTGCTTTCTCACTTTCCCTTTCTCTCTCGTTCTGGCTCTCACTCTATTCCTCTCTGGTCAAATTAAAATAAATAAATAAAGCTAAATTAAATAATTAAAAAAAATAAAAAATATTTTTTTCTTCAATAACAAACTAATGTTACGAAGCCATAACTTGGATATTGCATAAACTTTTTAATTTTGAAAAACTTTTGGATTCTTTTGTAATAACACATATCTTAAAATATGTTGTACAGACCAGCAGATGGTGTAATGATTACATCGCTGGACTCCCATGTAGTTAACTGCACAGAAAATCTCTTAAAAATTTTTTTAGAGAAGTTTTTGCTATAGGGCACATGTGCTTGTCAGAGAGACAGAGGGACAGAAAGCAAGAAATCACCCCCCAGGGGTGATGGACATGGAGTAATCCCTTCTTCTCTATTCTCCTCTTGGGATTTTTGGCCACGCACAAACACATGCTCAGTGTGAGTTTTAAGCTGCTGGGTCTGGGATTTGAACCGTGGTCGACTATGTCAGAGTCCAGTGACGTAACCATTATGCCATTTGATGGTCCCAAAAATCGCTCTTAAAAAAAATTGTAGGGACCAGCAGTTAGCATAATGGCTATGTCGCTGGACTCCCACGTAGTCAACCGCGGTCCGAGTCCCGGACTCAGCGGCTTAAAACTCACGCTGGGCGCATGTGTTTGTGTGCCCAAGATCCTGAGAGGAGAATGGAGGAGAAGGGATTGCGGCAGTCTCTCTCTGTCTTTCTGGTGAGCGCACGCGCCCTATAGCTAAACCTCTCCCCCCCCCCAAAAAAAAATCATATAACTCTACAAAAATTATTTATATCCTTAATATATAAGCTTTATTTATTTATTTATTTATTTATTGCTTTTTAAACTTTTCTTTTTATATCTAAGACACAAACACAATAGCCTATGCCTACACAGGATCAGGAGCATCATCCCTGTCTTCCACCTCTGTATCTTGTCTTATTGACGGGACCATGGTGAGCAAGATTAAATTCAACAAGAGAAAATGAGGAGACGTCATGAACATGAGCTGTATGAGGCTGTGTAACACTGCATGCTGTTTTACAGTGAACTTTTTAATATAGATATTAAATACAATAAGAATATAGTAAATACATAAACCGGTAACATGGTAAGTTATTATAATCTAGTATTACGTGCTGTACATAATTGTGTGAACCATACTTTTGTGTAACTGATGGCCCAGTGGGTTTGTTTACACCAGCATCACCACAGACGTGATTAGTGTGTTGAACTAGAACGTTATGATGGCTGTGACATCACTTGGTAATGGCAATTTTCAGCTTCGTTATAATCTTATGGGATTGCTGTTGGATGTAGGGCCCATAGTTGACCACGGCATCCTTATGCAGCTCATGACTGTATTTAGCTCATGATTCTGTAGGTCAGCAATCTGGGCCGGGCTCAGCTGGGAGGTTCTTCTAGTCTCAGTCAGACTTCATGTGTCTGTGGTCAGCTGATGGCTGCATAGGCAGCTCTGCTTCTAGTGCTTGTCTGGCTGTTGGCCAGGGCAATGGGGGAAGCAGTGTCTCTCATCCTCCTTGTGGCAAAGAACATTTGGATTGTATCTGTGCCCACATTTTCTACCTGAATTACATTGTGTTTATTCAAACCAAGACTGCAGTGTGCAGGCTTCATTGCCCAGAAGGGCTTATTTAGCCATCTGAAAGCTTAATCAAAGAGTATGTGAAGGTGTTGAGGGTCATTTCCTGAGGGTACTTTGGGTGCTGCTTCTAAAGAAGGGCAAGAGGTTGTGACAGCCAAAAACAGCAGATAGACCATCCCCTGGGTCGGGGCGGGTGGGCAGTGGCTTCTCACTTTCTCACTTTTCTTTTTTCTCTCTTTCTGTCTCTCTGGCTAGCTCATGTGACCTCAAGCAAAACAAACAAAATGGCAAACTATATTTTGGTTTGTTGGCAATGTCGTGACACATTTTTGCATAAAAAAAAGTCATGACTTTCTGACAACTATATATATATATATATATGTGTGTGTGTGTGTGTGTGTGTGTATCCCCACAGTTCTATGAGGCAAGGATTTTACTAATAGTAGCTAACATTTATTGAACACTCTGTGCCAGACACGGTGCAATAGTAGCTAACATTTATTGAACACTCTGTGGCACACACAGTGTGAAGTGCTTTATTTACCAGAATATCACAGGTTAATTGTAACAATCCTATGATGTAGAGATTATTTCAGTCTCCATCTTAGAGAAGAAAAAACTAGGGGCTAGAGAGGTGAAGCGACTTGCCTGAGGTCACACAGCAAGGAAGACGAGGAGGAAGGATTTGATCCTGGGTCCATGGTGACTTCATACAACTCAGAAATATACCCTTTTTGGTCCTTCCAGGAGAGTTTTATTTGTTCATTTCTGGCACAAGGATGATTCTCTCGGTGTCACTGGAGAAGAAGATGGTTCTCCCCTGGACCTTGGTCACGTGGGCCCAGCTGGTGATGGACAGGAGGCTAGCCAGGACTGCACTGAAGATGGCAATGACATACCCCCAGCCCACCTGGCACTTTCCACTGTGGTATATGGAGGAGGCTTCGCAGGCCTCCTTGGCAAATGGTGAGGCCAGGGCAACTGGAAAAACTAGCAGGCCCACGATGGTGGCAGCAGCTGGAAGCAGCAGGAAGGAAAACCAGTGTGTTGGTCAAGGGGTAGTGGGCTAAATCTCCTGTCCCAAGACCCATTCACCCACCTGCTGTCCACCCTCAATCCAGCTACCCACCCAACGATCCATTTATTCACTCATTCATTGGGTTGTGTCTCCTTCTATTCACCTGTTCACTATCCTTCCACCCATTTTTCCATCTGCCCATTCTCTCCCTGCCTCTTTCCACCCACCCATCCATCTATCCACTCATCCACCCATCACCCATCCATCTATCCACCCATCCACCCATCCACCCATCCACCCATCCACCTATCCACCCATCCACCTATCCACCCACCCATCTATCCACCCATCACCCATCCATCTATCTACTCATCCATCTGTCCACCCATCCATCTAACCACCTGCCTATGTAGCCACCTGTCCCCTTCCCATCCACACATCCACTGTTCCATCCATCCCTCAGCCGCCATCCACCCAACCATCTATCTATGTTCCAATCTGCCCATTTTCCCTATCAACCCATCTGCTCATCCATCCATCCATCACTTCACCCACCCACTGACCAACTGGACTATTCATCCATGCATTCATTCATTAGAAGTGTCTGAGGTGCTGTGGTGGCCACTGGTGATACTCATGCAGTGAGCCAATGCCTCTTTCCCCTCTTTCCTTCCCCCGACTCCTGGCTTGCTAAATGCCCAGGCATAGTCTGTAGTCCTAGGGTTTATCTCTGAGCTCTGACCCAGGAGGCCAGACCATTCATAGGCTTGTTCATTCATTCATTCCACACCTGTGTAGAGCTTGCGAAGTGCTGGTGGATTTACCTGCTGCGGCCTGTATCCCTGGCACTGGGGTATTGTTCCTTAGGCCCAGCCCTTTGGGAGTCAGGGCCCAAGACAAGAGGATGATTGCACTGAAGATCAATAAGAGCCAGCCTCCGAGGAGCATTGCAGCTGAGACCTGCCGTAAGAGAGAGGAGAAGGGGCATTGGCTGGGATGGGGCAGGATATCCTCTTTACTGATTTACAGCTACCAAGTCCTCAGAACATCCCCGAGGTCTGAGCTCTGTTTTTGCCCATTTTACACACACACTAACAAGATCCAGGGCATTGGAGTTGTTTGCCTCAGGACACACAGCTAATTAAGTAGTAGAGCCAGAATTAAAGTCCAGACTGACTGACCACCATATCCTGCCTTTATTAAGTGCTTGCTGCACGGCTGGAGCATCTGGAGGTATTGTTCATTACGTGATGATTAGTTTTGAAGACCATCTGAGCTTCTTTAGAGGTGCTTCTCTCTCTCTCTCTCTCTTTGTTTTTGCCTTCTCTGGGAGTCCTTACCCAGTCTCCTCATTGTGCATTTGGCACCAATGTGCATCATGACAAGGACTTTAACACTTCCGCCTTCCTTGTCAAGCCTAGCAATGCTTCGAGAGTGGCCAGGTAGAAGTGGGCAGGTTGCACACTGCATAGTGCTAGCAGGTGCATTGGACCTCATAGCTGGGCTTGTGGATGGCTGATTCCCCAGCAGATGGCAGTAGAGTGTCCTGATTTGTACCATGTCCTAGATGAGCTAGCAGCTGCCTTCGGACTCATCGTGGGAGTTTGCTAAAATACAGGAGGCCAGACCCCACTGCACACCTAGAATCAGAGGCTCCAAGTAGAACCCAGAGCTTGGCATGTTCAGAGATCCACAGGTGTTTCTGAAGGGCTGTCAAGTTCAAGAACCTCTATGCTTGGTTTTAAGGAATGATGAATGGTGGGTTCCCAGGCACTGGGACACCCAGGAAGCAAGGAAATGGCCCTCGAATGCTACCCAGCAGCTTCTGTGCTCCGATGGCTTTGACCGTGCCCTCAAGGACCCAGTGGATTGATGAGCCCAGGTCTCACCTTCCAGGCCAAGTCAGGGATGTCCTCCAGAGACCCGAAGGCCATACAGCTCTGGTTCCAGCTGTCGCCCCGAGGCCAGGAGCAGTAGGTGAGCACGCCAAAGGAGAAGGTGGGGGTCTGGAACCAGACAGGTGAGATGAGGCTGAGGGCCGAGATGAGGGTGAGGGAGAACCCCAGAGCTGCCCACACGCTGCCCACCATGAGGAAGGGTCGTGACCTAGGAACCGATGAGCAAGGTTAAGGTAGAGGTTAATGGGGTCAGGCAAGGGATTGGCGGCACGGGTGCCTTCAGCCAAGGCTCTGGTCCTGTGGTCAGACCCCAGGTCACCGGCTCCCCTTCGGCCTGGTGATGCAACTGGAGGTATTAATGACTGTGGGGTGAGGGGTGGAACTGTGCTTGATCTAGAAGCAGGGCTCCCAAACGCGACCGTCAGAGTTAGTGCTTAAAGGGACCTTCGAGCACTATCCTTGCACCTCCTGCAGGTATGGCATTGCCTGTCCCTCCAACACCCCCTCATATTTCGTTCATTCACCCTCTCAGCCCATCAAGCCTTTACCGTCTGAAAGGACCTGCTCAGAGTGGGCATCTGTTGGGTTGTTGGAAAAGTCATGACGTGTTTTTCTATGCAAAAATGTGCCATGACTTTTCCAGTGACCTAAGGTTTTAAAATTTATTTTTCAAAAGAAGATGTCTTGGGGCCAACTGGTGGCATAGTGGTTACAGCGCTGGACTTCCCTATGGTCCACTGCAGTTTGAGTCCCAGACCTGGTGGCTTGCTTTCTCACTTTCCCTCTCTCTCTTTCTCTCTCTCTCTCTCTTTCTCTCTGGTGAGTACATGTGCCCTATAGCAAATTAAGAAAAAATATATAATAAAATTAAATAAATCATTGCTTTAAATGTTAAAAATAAGTAAGAAAGAAAATCATGTTGGGTGCATGTGTGCGCATGCCCAAAATACCAGGAGGAGAATGGAGGAGAAGAGATTGTGACATGGCCAATTGCCCTGGGGGTGATTTCTCACTTTCCCTCTCATTGTCTTTCTTTTCTCTGGCAAGCACATGTGTCCTATGGCAAAAACCTTAAAAAATAAATGAAAGGAGTGTTGCTGTGTTGAGAACCTGCTGCTTCAGCCTCCTGAGTAGCTGAGGCCACATGCAGTCATGCCCCGGTTTTTTTTTTGGAGAAATTTTCACTGTAGGGCACGTGCGCTTGCCAGACAGACAGAGAGAGACATAGAGACAGAAAACAAGAAATCACCCCCCAGGGGGGACGGTCACGCCGCAATCCCTTCTCCTCCATTCTCCTCTTGGGATCTTGGGCACGCACGCACACACGCCCAGTGTGAGTTTTAAGCCACCGGGTCCGGGATGCGAACCGCGGTCGACTACATGGGAGTCCAGCAACATAGCCATTACGCTAACTGCTGGTTCCTGAGTGCCCCGGTCTTTCACACAAGGTCTCACTGTGTCACCCGAGACACCTTCAAGCTCACCATCCTCCTGCCTCAGCTCCCATGCGTCTGGATTTTCAGTCACCCACCACCATACCCAGTCTTTAGGTTGGATCAGGACTAGAACCCTGGCCTCCCATGGCCCAGCCGGTAGAACACAGCAGCATAGCAGCACATGCCATCGTGGCAGGGCCAGGGGAAGCTTGTTGTGGATTCACACATGTACACATCCACCCTGCCTGCTGACTGACCCCTCCCAATCAGCAACCATTTGAATTCTTTGACATATGTTGTTTTGTGTGTAGGTATTTTTTGCAAAATCTTGTTGTTTACGTAGGTTTTGTTTATTTATTTATTTTTAAATTTATTTTCTAATATTATTATTTTAATTTGACCAGATAGAGAGAGAGAGAAAGGGGAAGTGAGAATGCAAGCCACCAGGTCCAAGGACTTAAACCACGGTTGGTCATGTGAGAGTCCAGTACCTTAACCACCATGCCACCTGCTGGCCCCTGTAGGTATTATTTTTTAATTAAAAAAAAAATTCTACAGGGCATGTGTGCTGGTCAGAGAGAAGTGAGAGAGAGAGAGGGAGAAAGTGAGAAAGCACTCCCTGGGGGGCAATGGCCATACTGCAGTCTCTTCTCCTCTATTCTCCTCTCGGATTTTGTGCATGCATGTACACACCCACTGCGTTTTCCAAGCCACCAGGTCTGGAATCCAAACTGCATAGTTGACCATGTGGGATCCAACTGCCTTAACCACCATGCCGCTGACTGGTCCTTATTTTTAAATTTTTTTGTTAATTGCCAGAAGGCAAATGCACTTCCCAGAGAGAGAGAGCGAGAAAGAGCCCCCCCCGCCCCAGGGGGCACGCCTCCCCCTGCCCCCAGTGGGACTGGTCATGCTGCAATCCCTTCTCTGTTCCTTCATCCTGTTGGGATTTTGGACACACATGCAACATCCCTGGCATTTTTTCAAGCTGCTGGGCTGGGATCTGAACTGTGTTCAGCTATAGGAGATCCAGTTCCCTTAACCACTAGGTTCTATGGCTAGCCTATTATTATTACTATTTACATTTTAAACTTTATTTATCCATTCATTTAATTTGATCAGAATGAGAGAGAGAAAGTGAGAAAGCAAGCCACCAGGTCTGGGACTCAAGCCATGGTTGGCCATGTGGGAGTGTCCAGTGTCTTAACCTCTACACCACCTGCTGGTCCCCATAGTAGTAGTATTTTATGTATTGCATTCTGCTTCTTACTTTCGGCACTAAGCACGGTGTTTTTAGGATTGGTTTATGTTACTGTGTGTCTACTACTCCATTGAGCTGGGTTAGGGTTCCCTAGACACAGATCCCAAAGGCTCCACTTGGTAATACCATAACTGTGGATGGCAGGATTTCAACAGATCAATAAGAAGGTGACATGAATGTTCAGCCCATAGCAAGCATCTAGTGAGAATTCGTGAATGTAGTTTGATTGTCCTCGTAGTTCTATTTTTTTTTTTTTGGCATGATAATAGTTTTCTAGTGAAAATTAAAATTTATGTTAATAAGCAAGTTGAGGGCCAGCAAGTGGCATGGTGGTTAAGTGTGCTGGGCTCCCACGTGGCCAACTGCAGTTTGAGTCTGGACCTGGTGGCTTGCTTTCTTACTTTCTCTCTCTCTCTCTCACTCTGTTCCTCTCTGGTCAAACTAGAATAAATAAATACAGTTAAGCTAATAAAAAAAAAAAGGGAGAAAAGCAAATTGATTTAAGGTCAAGATATGTATCTGGAGGTGTGTGGATGTGTGTGTGTGTGTAGGTGTAGACAGAGAGAGAGAGAGAGAGCAAGAAAGCACCCACCCATGGGGAATGATCACACCAAGATCCCTTCTCCTCTGTTTCTCCCTCCTTTAAGGATTTTGGGCACACGCATACACACCCAGTGTGGTTCTCAAGCTGCTGATCCAAGACTCTTAACTACACAGTTGGCCCCGTGGGATCCAGCCTCCTTAACCACCAGATCATGGCTGGCCTATGTTTTATTTAAATAATACCAGAGAAGGTTGGATGACCTGCCTGAAGCAGAAGGTGGTTTGCCGATAGCTACTCCTGTCATTGATGGCCAGAGGGAGACCCAGATGGGTGAGCCTACCCAAGGGAATCCAAGGTCAAAGACAGCCCAACCCAGCCAAGGGCACCCCCGCCCGTTTGCCAGGGCCTTTGCTTACAGCCTTGGGTTGCCCGTCAGCCCCCTGAGCCCGGCCCGCAGGAATCCTGGGCTTGGTGGCTCACCAGCCCCTACCATGTCCCAGCTTTGGGAACCAGGGAAATCACCCCATGGCTCTGGGCCTCAGTTTCTCCAGCTGTACCAGAAGATTATGACCCCTTGGGAGCAGGTAGTGGTGGGTTCAATCACTGAGCAGGGCGATGTGATAGAAAAAGGCAGAGAAGTTGGGCTCTTTCCTGGCCAACTGTGTGCATGTAGGGAGGTCACCTCACTTCTCTGGAAAATGAAGGTGGGGTTGTCATGAAGGGTCAAGGGACAAAATGTGTGTGCATGTGTGTTACAGGGGGAGGGGCCTGGATAAGCCCAGGCAGGGAGGTCAGGGTCAAATTGCATGGGCTTTTTACTCTGACATTAGAGTAACCACCTGGCTGCTTGCCAGTTTTGAGTTGGGAGTGAGGGTTTGTTTTATTTTTTCCTTTTTTTTTCTTCCTACACCCAAATCAGCCTTTCTGTTGAGTTGGCAGGACCTCGAGGGGTGTAATTCCAGCCAGGATAGTGGGGAGAGCCGGTCCACAGAGGCCCTGGTTTTGCCTCACTCTGGCTGTACCCGTGGCTCTCCAGGCGTTCCTGACCTTGAAAGGAGTTTTGTTCTCTAGATAAAGCTCAGTGTCGCTGGGAAAATCACGCCAACCGTCCAGGTGCTCAGGAGCCTGAGACGTTATAACTCGCAAGGACTTCCGCTGAGCCTCCACTGAGCTGTGATCTGCCTAAGGGAAGCTTGAAAGAGACGGAGGGTTTTCTTCTCCAGCTCAGCACTTAATTTCTTGGTTTTGTTTCATTTTAAGAATTATTTTATTTATTATTGTTATTTAATTTGCCATAGGGCACATGTGCTCCCAAGAGAAAGAGAGAGAGAGAGAGAGAGAGAGGGAGAGAGAGAGGAAGAAAGAAAAAACAACCTAAAACTGAAGATGGCAATCATCAAAAGCCGTCCTTTTAACCCCCACCAGTGGGTTTTGAATTCATTATTCTGACTCTCCTGGCTTTGTGCTTTTGGAATTACCGGGTCCACAATCCCATTTATTTTTATTTGATCACACACACACACACACACACACACACACACACACACACACACAGAGTGAGGGAAAGTAAGAAAACAAGCCACCAGATTCAGGACTCAGCCCATGGTTGGCCATGTGGGAGTGCCCAGTGCTGAACTGGTCCCCCCTGCACTTAATTTCTAATAGCAGTCAACAATTCCTAAGACCCCACCGAGCCCCACTCTAAACCCTGGAAGTACCTTGGTTCATGTAAGCCTCACGGCCACCTGGTGAGGTACATATGCTCTCACATCCCCCATTTTACAGATGACAAAACGGGGGCTTGGGATGGAAGCGGTGGAGCTGGCACTCAAACTTGGGGAATCAGGTTCCTGGTTCTGGGTCCTAAGCCCGAAGCGAGATTGAGGGTATAATTTAAAAATCAAACAACCCAGCGGCTCCCCAAGGCTTCCCAGGGTGAGGGCAGGGTTAGGATCTCGCACGTGCTCCAGCCTACAGCATGGCTGTCTGAGAGGAGTCCGTCAGCTAGCGCAGAATCGCAGGAGAACTGGGTATGCGGGTTCAAGGGTGGCTGCTAGACTTCCTAAGTAAAGCTCAGCTCCTCTCCTGCTTTCACTCTTCATCTTCCAAATACAGAGGTTGCTCATTCATTCCTTCACTCAACTTTTTTTTTCTTTTTTTTAAGGTTTTTACCATAGGTCATGTATGCTCACCAGAGAGAGAGACAGTGAAAGGGAAAGTGAGAAACCACTCCCCCCGGGGTGTGTGTGTGTGTGTGTGTGGTGTGGTGATTTCTTACATTCTTTTTCTCTGTGTTCCTCTGTGGTGAACACACATGCCCAATGGCAAAAACATAAACAACC